TTGTCTCGATGGTCCGATTATCCATTATTTCTACTATGTGTCCTCATTGTATTCGGACAAACAGGACGAAATAAGGACAATTAGTCATCACTTATTTCTGTTTAAAAATGACATTACCTATGCCGTGTTTCTGATATGAAACAGGTCTAAGGACATTCAATTCATCACTCTTACTCTAGGCGCCTTCCCATACTTTTACCTCCTATATTTCTCATCATAACTACCACTAGGTTTATATATTTTTAGAATCACTTTCTTGATAACATTATACACAGTATCATTTAAGGAAGGGAATCAAATAACCAAATAACTTATATTATAAATATTATTTCCTTGCAGAGTGAGCCTTGTCATTAAATTTATCTTTTGGCCTAGTAATGTTTGATCAGAAATAGGGATATTTATTGGCATCATGTATTTTATCGTTGTTGATAAGTTGCACCGACATTGTTGCCATTAAAACAAAATTAAACATAAAGTGTGAATGCACCACTGCTTTCCCTACTTCGTCATTTCCTTGTGTTAATTGGGGCGGTGGGGTAGCCTAGTGGTTAAAGCGTTCGCTCCTCACGCCGTAGACCCGGATTCGATTCCTCACATGGGTACAATGTGTGAAGCCCATTTCTGGTGTCTCCCGCCTTGATATTGCTGGAATATTGCTAAAATCGGCGTACAACCAAGTGATAGGAAGTATATATTCATAGTATGTTATGACAAACAACAGATTAACATTAACAACAGCATGTAGTTGATAAAACATTGAAAACTGTTACACTAAAATTCATAATTTGTTTCTTTACCCAATCCTTAGCAAGTGGAAACGTACGGTTTAGTTATTTTAACTTTAGGAGCAAAGAGTGCTTATCTAGTGTTTACTTGCGTTCGGAAATATAGATCTCTTGCAGACAAACACAGCCTGATCATTTTTTAAAGTCAAGTGGTTCAAGTGTTTATAGATGAAAAGTCTAAAATAGGTTCAAATGTTTCAAACAAAATGTTTCCATTGAGTTTACTGTACATCGTGTTTAGAGCAACAATCTTCGATTATTTCAGTTAACTGTCTCAGACAAAAATACCAATGCTCTAGATGCATTTACTGGTCTGATAATCATATACCTGCGGGTCCCAAGCTTTTCAAATCTTTCCATTTAGTCATCTCTTTTCTAACAAAGATAATGAATTAATAATATTTTTGTTAGTTCCAAACCACTAGGTGCACTGATGATTTTATCCCAGAAGACTTCACTTCTGACAGAAACATGGACAATCACGTATCTGGAACCTAAGTTGCTCTCTGCGTTGGTATTCTGTGAATAATGAATTAGGTTTCTAAGAACGTTCACGTAGATAACGCTATTGACATTCATTAGATTCATTGTTGAGAAAGGCACGTTTTAGACCCTGCTTATTCAACTGACACTGTAACAGAAGCTCGTGGTAAGATTCATTTAACCCTCTGGATATCATAGAATAATCCCTCTTGTGTATTACAATCCTGAAAACAACACATTGTGAGTCAAAGGAATCGATTGAGGAATTTAATTGATCGAGTGATTTCCAGCAACACAGATTGTTACAATTAGAGATCAGTTCAACAGTTATGTTGGAGCAAAATCCATAACAAGTTTTGTGACATTCTCATTCACACATTAAATCCTAAACGTCAACGTAAGAGAACAGATTCTGCCAAAAATGTCAAGATCTACAAGAAGGTACATATCTTGTACAGATGAGATATACAAGAGCTAAACAATGTTCTACAGATTGATAAAACAAAATTGCTTTTCCTTGCACAAATCGGATATGGAGATAATTGCATTGTAATGTTATGTAATTGATCGGTACGGGCAAAATGGAATTTTGACGTCCTACTATAGCGGTGTGTAACATAACTGAACTTTGCCTTTGAGTGTTAATAGGTACTTCACTGTGTAAGCGGGATGGCATACAACAGTGTTATTGACCGGTAGGTTATCTGGGCTGGCACTTTCCCTCGTACGTTGCAACGTATGTGAGTGAGTGAGTTAAGATATAGAGTCACATCGGCAAGGTTGCAACCATGTCGTGACTATAACAATAATAAACAAAAGTTATTTTGTAAACCCTGTCAACAAAGGACAGTAAACCAACTAGGTTATCAAAGATAGAAAGTTAAAGCTAGCATGTAAGCATTAAAGCATTTATTACAAACAGGTCAATGCAATATAAAAACCGCGCTATAGGTCACCAACAACTGAAGGTAGATCACCATACAAGGGACCATGGGGATCAGAGTATGTGAGAAGACATTTATGTACATATAGGATTAGCAGACAGAGTATAGATATTAAAACACCTAGAACATGTGGGAATTGGTTTGTACTGAGCTGTCGGTTTGCTTCGTATGACGGTATGCGATTACTAACATTCTGTAATGATAATAAATAATAATAATGGCCATTAATACAGCGCCTGTTTCCACACACTTGTGCATGCTGTAAGCGGTAACACATTATTATCCCGGATAACCCAAGCTGCCTGATAGGCGCTGGAAGGTTAATAGTCACATGACGCATCTCACCGGGAACCCATTTTCTGCTGGTTGAACAGAGGCAGTTTTGAACAAACTCACTTGCCTGAGGTGAGACTACATGTGTCCCATGTGCTTCGTTGTGGGGCAGGACTGAAGTGTTAGAAACTCAAGTCAAGCTGCCATACACAGATACACCAGACACACAAACAGTGTGAATTGTAGTAGCATTATTGTCATCACTTGAAAGTGTTGAATTTGGTTTGTGCTGATATGTAAGGTATATGTAAATGGTGCAATTACGCTTATGATTACGATATAAAAATCAGTTTGTGCACAGCTTAACATTGTTTACATAGTCAAAAAGACTTGAATGTAAATATATTGTATAACAAATACAAGTTACAAATACATGTTGGAAACATTTGGAACACAAAGACTAATATTATTAAAAGACACTTTAGAAAAAGAAATTGCATCAGTGACTTGTTAAGATTTTATTGATATTTCTGACTGATGTAAATCCTGTATCTGAAGGCACAAAACTTCCATAAAGTAAGAGGCGACTAATGGGATAAAAGGCGGCGTAAAACTAAACTCACTCACTCACTCACTTCCATCAAGTTTGAATCTAATTCCCGATCTCTATCTGTTTTATTGCGTTAATAAAAACCCAGTGCCAATCCAAGTCAACCAAGTCACACTTTATTATGCGATTGTACGTTAAGAAAATCTTAAAGGGTAACAATGATGTAAGGGTTATTTTGAATGATCGACTTGACTGGGACAGACAGAGACACAGTTGTTACTTTTTAAAAGAAATTCACTAACACGATTATCAGACTGAAATTTGTTTCCACATTCATTTTTGTCAGGTCGACAAATGCAAAATACGTACAAATCCACAAACGACATGATCTGTCAGTATTTATGTAATGAATACACCAGGGATTTAGATACATTCACATCCAATGCAACAGCTGTCTGCAGACCAACTGTACCTGATAAAACAAGTTAACCCTTCTACCATGCAGGTGGTTACAAATTACAGATATTTGCTGGTTTTGCTTTTACGTTATAAGCTTTACTGCTTCACCATACCTTACTTTGCTTTTTACTGCTTGACTGTAACTTACTAGCATGATGTTATAGCTTTTACTGCTTCACCATAACTTACTAGCATGATGTTATAGCTTTTACTGCTTCACCATAACTTACTAGCATGATGTTATAGCTTTTACTGCTTCACCATAACTTACTAGCATGCTGTTATAGCTTTTACTGCTTTCATGTTATAGCTGCTTTTTACTGCTTCACCATAACTTACTAGCATGATGTTATAGCTTTTACTGCTTCACCATAACTTACTAGCATGATGTTATAGCTTTTACTGCTTCACCATAACTTACTAGCATGATGTTATAGCTTTTACTGCTTCACCATAACTTACTAGCATGCTGTTATAGGTTTTACTGCTTCACCATAACTTACTAGCATGCTGTTATAGGTTAAACTGCTTCACAGTAACTTACTATCATGCTGTTACTGCTTTTACTGCTTCACAATAACTTAATATCATGCTGTTTTTGCTTTTATTTCTCACAATAACTTACTATCAAACTAAAAAACCACAAGATACAAAAGTCTATCATCACAATAAATGGCACGTGGCTGCAAAGTTACGATTGAAATATCCGCAAAAGGTATTTCTATACTGTAAACAATACAATTAAATTATGCATTAAACAATTGGAATATATAGATTTTAAATAAAACAACCAGTCATGGGCCGAACCACACGTTCTCAGGAGCAGGTATTGATCTGATCCGCAATTCACGAACCAAACAGTATCGTAGTGAGTGAGTAGGATTTTACGTCGCTCTTAGCAATATTCCAGCAATATCACGCCGGGAGATACCAGACACAGGCTTCACACACTGTGCCCATGTGGGGAATCGAACCCGGGTTTTCAGCATGACGAGCGGACGCATTAACCATAAGGCTTCCCCACCGCCCCAACAGCTGCAGTCAGTAAATGTAGTTACCAATTAATGCAAATGATCAAAAATAACAAAACTGCCAAAGGATATTCAATGTCAAAATTTATTTTTTAAATCATCAACACACTTGAAAAGTACAATTATCTAACAACAAAATACAAACCAACGACGAACGAATGCAGTACCGTTTCGGAATGTAACCCCATACGATGTGTTGAATAAACAAAATTCTATCACGATAAAACTGAAGTTGTTAAGTTATAATGATAACCATCCATCACACAAATGTCAATATTTTCAACACTGCTGAACAATAATTGATCACATCCGTTAGAACTACTATTCCTGTATAACAGAATAGCGTTCTCATGGTTCGATACGCATGCTTTACTACTTAACTGTTAATTGATTCTCCAGAGGGCTGTTTACGTGACATAGGTTAAGCAGACAGTACGTGTCCTATACAATATAAAGTTGTCCAACTGCGCAGGCAGTTCTGTGATACCTTGTGAACCTTAGTACAGAAGCACACCAAACACTTCACTGTTTGAGCAATTACTATATTGCGTAAAAACTGAAAACTGAAAAATGCGATGCTTCCGCGTTTTAAGCATTGCTGTCGTTTGTATAACTTGTGTTTATCGAGCACACACGGAGAAAATGTGCTCAAAGATTGATGATGTGCCACAACTAAGGAAAAACCAGCGACTTCCTGGTAAGAAATTATTTTCAACAATGACCGATGGAGTCATGTTATGTGCACGTTTATGCCTTGGAGCTCTCCTGTGTGGTTCGTTCAACTTCAACATCAGAACTGGTGTTTGTGAACTCAATGACGTCACTCTTGGAACGGAAGTAACGGAAGTAATCCACGCACCAGATTATGTTTTTTCCGAAGTCAACTCCTGGCCAAAGGTAATCTTTATGATCTCTGTGTTTGATTAGTTTCTCTTTGTGGAGCCTTACATCCCTGCTTGTCTTAAAGAGACGGCTATTGTGACATCGTGTCCCAATTGCGCAGATACCGCTGTCATCCACTGCTTTTGCGGGCTCTGACTAGAACATATATATGCTGCAGGAATGTAGGTTGAATGATGTGGGCTGCTGACATATGGGCATTCGAGATGTAAATGGAATTGGATTGTCAGGATCTTGGCCCTGGGGATGTAGATGGGATGTTGTGGGTTGCCCAATTTTGGCTTACGGATGCATGTTGAATGCTTTGGGCTAAGGATATGGGCCTTACTGATGTATGTGGAATGTTGTGGACTGTATGGGCCAAACGGACGTAGGTAGAATGTTGTGGGCAGTCGGGATATGGGCCTAACAGACGTAGGTGGAATGTTGTGGGCTAAGGATATGGGCCTAACGGGTGTACATGTAGGTGGAATGGTATTGGCTAAGGATATGGGCCTAACGGGTGTAGGTGGAATGTTGTGGGCTGTCGGGATATGGGCCTAACGGGTGTAGGTGGAATGTTGTGGGCTGTCGGGATATGGGCCTAACTGGTGTAGGTGGAATGCTGTGGGCTAAGGATATGGGCCTAACGGGTGTAGGTGGAATGTTGTGGGCTAAGGATATGGGCCTAACGGGTGTAGGTGGAATGTTGTGGGCTAAGGATATGGGCCTAACGGGTGTAGGTGGAATGTTGTGGGCTAAGGATATGGGCCTAACGAGTGTAGGTGGAATGTTGTGGGCTAAGGATATGGGCCTAACGGGTTTAGGTGGATTGTTTTGGCTAAGGGTATTGGCCTAACGGACGTAGGTGGAATGTTATGGGCTAAGGATATGGGCCTAACGGGTGTAGGTGGAATGTTGTGGGCTAAGGACATGGCCTAACGGATGTAGGTGGAATGTTGTCGACTGTATGGGCTCAACGGGTGTAGGTGGAATGTTGTGGGCTGTCGGGATATGGGCCTAACTGGATGTAGGTGGAATGCTAGGCTGTCGGGATAATAACGGGTGTAGGTGGAATGTTGTGGGCTAAGGGATATGGGCCTAACGGGTGTAGGTGGAATGCTGTGGGCTAAGGATATGGGCCTAACATGTACGTGGAATGTTGTAGGCTAAGGATATGTTGGATGTAGGTGGAATGTTATGGGCCTAAATATGGGTCCTAACGGGTGTAGGTGGAATGTTGTGGGCTAAGGATATGGGCCTAACGGGTGTAGGTGGAATGTTGTGGGCTAAGGATATGGGCCTAACGGGTGTAGGTGGAATGTTGTGTGGGCTAAGGATATGGGCCTAACGGGTGTAGGTGGAATGTTGTGGGCTAAGGATATGGGCCTAACGGATGTAGGTGGAATGTTGGTGGAATGGGCCTAGCGGGTGTAGGTGGAATGTTTGTGGATATGGGCCTAACGGGTGTAGGTGGAATGTTGTGGGCTAAGGATATGGGCCTAACGGGTGTAGGTGGAATGTTGTGGGGCTAAGGATATGGATGTAGGTGGAATGTTGTAGGTAAGGATATGGGCCTAATGTAGGTGGAATGTTGTGGGCTAAGGATATGGGCCTAACGGGTGTAGGTGGAATGTTGTGGGCTAAGGATATGGGCCTAACGGATGTAGGTGGAATGTTGTGGGCTGTAAGGATATGGGCCTAACGGGTGTAGGTGGAATGTTGTGGGCTAAGGATATGGGCCTAACGGGTGTAGGTGGAATGTTGTGGGCTAAGGATATGGGGCCTAATGGGTGTAGGTGGAATGTGGAATGTTATGGGCTAAGGATATGGGCCTAACGGGTGTAGGTGGAATGTTGTGGGGCTAAGGATATGGGCCTAACGGATGTAGGTGGAATGTTGTGGGCTAAGGATATGGGCCTAACGGGTGGCTAAGGATAGGTAACAGGGAATGTTGTTGTGGGCTAAGGATATGGGCCTAACGGGTGTAGGTGGAATGCTAAGGTGAGGCTAAGGATATGGGCCTAACGGGTGTAGGTGGAATGTTGTGGAGCTAAGGATATGGGCCTAACGGGTAAGGATAGGTGTAGGTGGAATGGCTTGTGGGCTAACAGGTGTATAGGTGGAATGGGCTAACTAACGAGGTGTAGGTGGAATGTAACAGGTGGTGGTAGGAATGTTGTGGGCTAAGAATAGCTGGGATATGGAGCCTAACGGGTGTAGGTGGAAGTGGAGGATATGGGCCTAACAGGTGTAAAGTGGAATGTTGTGGGAATATGTAGGTGGAATGTTGTGGGCTGTAAGGATATGGGCCCTAACGGGTGTAGGTGGAATGTTGTGGGCTAAGGATATGGGCCTAACGGGTGTAGGTGGAGTGGAATGTTGTGGAATGACATGGGCCTAACAGGTTTAGGTGGATATGGGCCTAACTGGTGTGTAGGTGGAATGTGTGGAATGTTGGGCTGTGGGCTGTCGGGATATGGGCCTAACGGGGATAGGTGGAAAGCTGTGAGGCTAAGGATATGGGCCTAACGGGCCTAATGGGCCTAATGGGTGTACATGTAGGTGGAATGTTGTGGGCTAAGGATATGGGCCTAACGGGTGTAGGTGGAATGTTGTGGGCTGGATAGGTGGATATGGGATATGGGCCTAACGGGTGTAGGTGGAATGTTGTGGCTAAAGGTGTAAGGGATATGGGCCTAACGGGTGTAGGTGGAATGTTGTGGGCTGTATGGGCCTAACAGGGTGTAGGTGGAATGTTGTGAGGCTAAGGATATGGGCCTAACGGGTGTAGGTGGAATGTTGTGGGCTAAGGATATGGGCCTAACGGGTTTAGGTGGAATGTTTTGGCTAAGGGTATGGGACTAACGGGCGTAGGTGGAATGTTGTGGGCTAAGGATATGGGCCTAACGGGTGTAGATGGAATGTTATGGGCTAAGGATATGGGCCTAACGGGTTTAGGTGGAATGTTTTGGCTAAGGATATGGGCCTAACGGGCGTAGGTGGAATATGCTGTGGGCTGTCAGGATATGGGCCTAACGGGCGTAGGTGGAATATGCTGTGGGCTGTCGGGATATGGGCCAAACGGATGTAGGTGGAATGTTTTGGGCTGTCGGGATATGGGCCTAACGGGTGTAGGTGGAATATGCTGTGGGCTGTCGGGACATGGGCCTTAATTATTTAAGCAGAATGTTGTGGGCTGTCGTGATATGGGTCTTGGGGATGTAGGAAGAATATGTTGTGGGTGTGGGTCTTGGGGAGGTAAGTGGAATATTGTTGGCTGCCGATATGGTCTCAGAGGGATGTAGGTGGAAAGCCGCAATATGAGTCTTGGGAATATCGATTGAGTCATGTGTCTGGATGTGGGCTGCGTGGATATAAATGGAATGGTGTGGATTGCCGCCAGGTGAAATGTTGTTGATTATCGCCATGTGGGCCTCGGGGAAATAGGTGGTCTGTTGATGCCATACCGTCCCCGCGAGACAGGATCGTCCACGACCCTACATCAGTGCTTGGTTTCGACCTATTGGTCTGATCGAAAGCGAGAGTACGATCTCACATATCGATAGTTCAATCGCAGAAGGTGCTACAAAATCAAGTCCGGGTTCAACAGACGTGGGTTGCCACTCAAATTATTTCATAAATTCAACGGAAACATTTGCGAAGTAGTACAAACTTTGCAATCAAACACACCGACCACTTTACATATTTGAGCGCAAACTTCATTATTTTTGAAACTTGAACGAATGAATGCCAATCGCAGTAATTGGGCTACAGTGCTATTTTCAGACGTCCCCCCTGTTGACTGTCTCATGTTTCTGGATGCGCAGTATTACGAGATGTTGTCTTTACTGTGGTAATTTTGCTTCTCTGTTGAAATCTCAGCTTAATTTTCATTATCTGGTCGGGTCGTCTGCTATTGCAGTCATCTTTGTGAAGCCATTCGAAATAAGAACATCGATCTGACACAACGCCTGTGCTACACACAATCGAGGAAAGAAAAACAGGTTTAAAAATAAAAAAAAGTGGAAACTGAATCTAGGATATTGTCGAAATCGAATGGATTTTGGAAGAATATTATGTATTATATGTTCGCATGTATCTCCTGTCAGAGACTTGCCGGAGTGTGTGTAAGCCACTCGTGCTTAGAGTCCCAGTACTGTCAACCAAACAACGACAGTGACTATTCCTGCAAGCCTTTGGGTGAGTATAAGGATGAAAGGCATTCACGTCTAAATTTCAACATTTTAATGCCATACTGAAGTTTGTCTTTATATGGAGCTTTAAAACACCACACACAATGAGCATTATTCATGAAAACAAAAATCTGAATTCAATTAAGCGTTGATAGTGTTTCATTTTGGGTACTTGCAGGGGAAATATTCATATTACCAATTTCATCAAATGTCCTTCTTGGCTGGACATCACCTATATAGAGTTTACTGGACAATGTATTGTTATATTATTGCTGTCAAGTGTGCTACATTTACAATAGTCTTTTTTCATCAATGTCTTTGTTGCGTTCTATGAAAATGCCCCCGTTCTAGGATTAATTTAGAGAAGGGTGATTTTAAACAAATGGTGACGCGACATCCTATATGTAATGAACAGATTGAAAGCAGGTGAAAACAGACCTTATAGAATTGAAGGGAATCGTCAAAACGGAACATGCATGTTGAGACTCACGACACATGTACCGAAATATTATATTGTATTATATTTTCTATTTTGAGAACGTTTTAAAGGCTCAATCTTGACTAGTTCAAATACTTGAATAATAAATCTCCCACAAAGCATGAGTGACAAATATGGGAATAATGTATAATGCAAGTATGGGTGATACAGGAGGAATATTGGTTATATAAAAATCGGTGCAAAGCCATATATCTTAATTTATTCATTTCCCTTCAAACTATATCCTAGTACCAAAATACATGCTTACTATCACGCAGTTCATATGTACTCATTTCCCACCATGGCTTGTGCGTTTGTTTTATGGTTTTGTTTACTGCTCATTTTGTGTCTCTTTGTCTTTTCAATTGTTTTGCATGTTTTTAATTGCACACATATTTCTTTTATATATATATATCTCAATGAACATTCTTATAGTGAGTGAGTTAATATTTAACGTAACATCGGCAATATTTCAGCCATATTGTGACGACAAAGAGTTATGTACTAAGAATATAAACATATGTATACTTATATAAAACCCCGGCCAGCGAAGGACAGTATAACCACTAGAATATCACAAATCGAGTAAAACTAGTGTTCAAAACAACACACTATAAAATCGGGCTAGAGATCGCCAACAACTGAAGGTAGATCACCATACTAAGGACCACGGGGACTTACATTACAATTGCTTCCTGCATGGGCCCTAGCTGGATTTACACCATTCCCTCAGTCTCTGGGAAAGTTTGTCATAATTTAAAATAACAAATATTCTATGTTTAAAAAGCATGGTTGAGGTAAATGGACTTTGAAAGGTTTTGGGACTTACGTATGCTCTCAGGAGGACAAAAAATTTTACGATCCCCTTTGAGGATACAGCCACTACATTCTTATAGTATAGTTTAACGATGCGATAATTTAATTAGCAAACGAAAGATGCACTACTACTGTTTTACAGATAAAAATGCAAGATGCAGTAGAGGGGGTTCGGGTGATCCTGGCACATCATCAGCTCAGGGCCCTTGTCCCCTCTATACGCAGCCCAGACTGCGAATGGGACTTCTCACTGGAACTTTCCGGAGAATATGTTGACTCCCTAACACTACAGCCTTCTGCATTAGCCAGAGTGCCAGAAGGGCTGTGCTCCCGGTGGAGAACCCGGGCACTCTCCTGATCTGCGCCAAGAGATCAGAAGGTACCAAACCAAGGGCACCGAGAACAATGGGGAGCCTCACGACAGTGTACTTGGGATGCAAGCGAGACATTTCAAAGGCGAAGTCCGCATATTTAGCATGCTTTTCCTGAATCTTGTCAATCACGTTGCTGTCAAAAAGGGACAGAAAACTCAATGATATAGATAAGTTCATTAGCTTTATCAAAAACGACAAGATCAGGTTTGTTGGCTGTAATTCTTCTGAGGCTGTATATTGGCCTAATCCAAAGAAGCTTAAGCTGTCATTTTCAATGACACCCTGGACATGCTCAGGGTCGTACCATGGGTGGACCTCGGAGTCAAAGCCACAGGCATGCGAAGACGATAGTAGGAGGAGCGTGCCATGGCATCATGTCCAATGTGTTGGACAGTCTCTGTAAATTCATTACACAGTCAGTATTTCATGTCAATATATTTTCTTTAAGAATCACATTTAGACAATCGCGAGTGGGAAGTGACTGGTCTTGGGCAGCAAAAAGAAAGCCCTCTGTTTCACATTTAAGACCAGCCGACTTCATCCAGTTGGATTACTGTTCTGTTCCACACACTGCATGTATGCACGATGCAATGGCTTCTCAGAAAGCTTCTCTACAAATGACCGATTCCGGGCAGATTTGGTGAAGGACTTCATTGATTGGCATATATAAACGATTAAGAGAGCAGCGAGCAGCGAGCAGCGAGGGTGATGGGCTCTGTTATCAAACATGATCCTTCTATTCAGGTGGTCAAGACTATGGATATCTTGTTTTATCCAATCATCTACTCAAAAGGAATAAGAAAGGACTGGCACAGCAAACGTATTGGTGGCTTGTTTCGAGCATCTAGTTCTGAGCTCCAGATTTTCTTTAAGCAAGTTTCATACTCGGCCCGAAGTTTGTCTTGAATCTAGGCATTCTGGAGCTTGTCTCGAACTTGCATTCCAAGATAGGTGTAGACCTAATCTTCCACAAGATGCTCAATAACTCCTCTCCGCTGTAACTTGACCGATCCATCATTAACTACCTTGCCACGTTTCAAATGAAGAGTATTACATTTGTCGAGTCCAAATGTCATACCAATACCATTAGAAAATGACTCGACAAGGGGAAACTGCTCTTTCAAACTGGTATCTCCTTTGGCAAGGAGCTCGATGTCATCTATGTAAAGGAGACGAGCAAGAGGTGTTAGGGATCTGTGCTGAGGAGGTCCGGGATGGTAGCCCTCCCCGTTGTAGAGCAGAAAACTCGAAGGATTTAATGACAAACAAAAAAGCAAAGGACTAAAGGAGTCCCCCCTGGAATATTACCCTTCTGATTGGAATAGATTCCAAAGTCTGGACCTGTCCACATTTCACATTTCAAGTTGAGTCGACCAGCATCTCATTAAAGACTTGAGTATATCAAGTAGTCGCTCAGGTCAATACAATGAAGAGACCTCAGAATCCATTCATGAGGGACAGAGTCTATTGATTACCTTGTCTGTGTCTTGGAAAGTAGGCTGAAGTATTTAATTATGTACACGCTTAAATGGTGGCAGTTGTATTGCAGTTGTAATGTACATGTGAGCAGTTATTAAGGCCCAAATATCCCCGTCGGACTAACTGTCTACGTTTACGGTATTGTTGTCTGTTTTCAGTAGAGGGGGCATCAGCCGTTTCCGTGCAGTGGTTACAAGCGTATAAGGAATGACAAGTCTTTATGGATGATCAAATTCTTTATTGTATAGCGACGTTTTCGGTATAGATACTTACTTACGGTATACGTATCTGTAATGAAACGTCGCTATTATATTTCTAGAATGCCTATCAAACAGTACAAGCATATTGGATGTTGTTCTGCTTGAATTGCTAGACTAAATAATCTATTCCGCTGGAGTAGCAATCAATAACTTCCTACTGTCTCACTTGTTCTACAAAAAACAAATATATAGTGTATCCCCACGTTACCTCTTTTCGAGCGTCACCTCATTTCGAGCCGCCAATATACACGTGCGGATTTATTTGATGACGTCATCCAGGTAGCCACTTCAAAGCGGAACGCAGGTTACAAGTTGTCAGGCTGTCTAGGACGTAATCATGTGGCGTGTGAAGCTGCAGGTGGTAAGTTAGATAAAAAAACGTAAACCCATGACAAAAAGTCACTATTTTGCCTACTGCATATTTTTTTTAAAGTTTAAAGCTGCATTTCTTGCACTGAAAACATTTGACATCACTTCGAAGTTATGCCGTCTGCAGAATGTAAACTTCCGGCCAGGATCACATGACTTACATCATGTGGCTGGCTATTTTTAACTTGCATCGCGATCGCTAGTAGGGGCCGTCTTATAAGTGTTGTAACCAATTTTTCGGTGTATTGCAGAATTCAAGACCCTCGTCGTATAGGGTTTATGACCCAGAGGCTATGACCAGGGCATATTTAGCCGTTGTGGAAGACAATATGCCTGTCAAAACTGCAGCTAGGAAGTTTTCTGTACCTGAGACGACTCTCAGAGATCGTGCTAGGGGTAGGATCCATCCAGAAACACTTAAGTCAGGGACTGAACCAATTCTTAGTTTAGAAGAGGAGTCTAGACTTGTTGAACATCTAAAGTTCATGAGTAGTGTGGGGTACGGATACACCAGGGTGGAGGTCACTACACTGGCATCTCAGTATGCTGTTCAACTGGGAAAACGAAATAAAGATGATCCCTTTTCTCTCCATTGGTATTATGGATTTATGAAGCGATGGCCTTCTCTCATGCTGGACAAGCCACGCCCTCTCGAAGTTTTCAGAGCAAAGGCGACGTCGCAGGAAGCAGTTTCCAAATATTTCGTCGAACTTCGGGCCGTGCTAGAGAAGTACGATTTATTTGACAAGCCGCAATTCATCTATAATGTTGACGAAAAAGGGTTGATTGAGAACCATACTCCTCCTAAAGTGGTATCTTCTTCTGAATATCGATGTGTCGCGGTTACTACACCAAGATCATCAACAACAACTTTAATTGGTTGTGGGAACGCTCTCGGACAACAAATCCCTCCTTACTTCGTATTTAAGGGACAGCGTCTGCGTTCGGATCCGTCACAGCCGATTCTCCTTCTTTACGACGGGCACCGCTCTCATGTTTCTCTCCCCATCATTGACTGGGCCATATCTCGGAACATTGTCTTGATGGTACTGCCAGCTCACACTTCTCATGTTTTACAACCACTTGACGTTGGTTGTTTCGGGCCACTAGAAAGGATCTACAATTCCATGAAGCACACGTATATGAGAGAACAAGTCACCACCAACATAGATAGGAACGCTATGTGTGCTGTTGCTTGTAAAGCATACACGTCGGCTCTTTCTCCAAGAAACTTGATGTCCTCGTTTGAGAAATGTGGAATATTTCCATTTGACGATTCTGTCGTGTCTGCGGAAGCCTTGAGACCTTCTACAGTTTTTTATTTCATCCGAGGAAAACCGCGAAGCCGACGACTCACTTTTTAGACAGAAGGAAGACGCTCTGCACAAAATTAAGTCTGCACCAACACTGAAGCGGAAAGTCCTCAGCTCTATCGTCAGTGGTAAAGCCATCACAGAAGAAAATACAGTGTTCAAAATTCAAGAACACACTCAGAAACAGCCAGTCAAGAAGAGGAAGCAACAGTCTGCACAGAAGAAAAAAGTATCACAAGTTCGTTCAACTCTCTCTCTGCCAAACCAAGCACGTCTGGGTTGTCTCACGTACGAGAGGATGTCGCAAGTGACAGCGGTACAGACACGGACACTGAGGGTGATGACGAAGTGTGTTGTGTTTGCAAATTGTTTCAACCGAAAGAACTGCAAAATTGTGTCTCGATTGTATTCACAAAGTGGGCTCAGTGTACGCACCCGAGTTGTGATCACTGGGTACATCTCAAATACTGTACGCAGGTGCGCGTTGTGAGATCAACAGCTGAATTCTGGTGTCCGTGTCATTCGGAAAATTCAGAGGAATAGAGCCTGTTTGTCGACTGAAGTGACAACTGTACATAAGTTTTAATATTTAATTTCCTAGTTCCCATAACTCATCGTGTCATAACAATACATGTACGCTTACGGCAGTGAGACGACAATTTGCCAGAACTAACAGTGAAATCATATTCATGATCGAGTCACTGTGCTATATTGTGCATATATGCTACATTAATCATTTTAGCGGAAATTTAAAGACTTATACTCGTTTGGAACATTTTGGATGACTGTGAATTCATAAGACCGCTTCAAGTTTTGAGATCACCCGCGCTGGCTGACACTGTGTTAAATACGTCAACAATATTGAGGGGTTCGAAAAGAGGTGACGTCACAAAACATGGCGATCAACTAGGTCACTTCGAACTTCGAGGTATGTTCTGCTGCAAACAAACGACGCATCTCCTTAGCTAACAAATTTAACAGCACAATAATTGTAATTCAAAGTAAGATAACTATTATTGATATATCTCAAAGCATTTCTCCTGATTGTCATTGTTTGTCTTAGGGGCTCGAAAACACCGTACGCGAGGATATAATATAACCAAACAACAACGAGTTATGCGACACATAAAATATACATGTTAAAACATAAATACGAACATAAAATCCGGTCTTGCTAACAACACATGACAAAAATACCTATGTATTCTTCCCATGTTGGCTTTGATAAGTTCTCGTTGTAAAATGGGCAAGTTAAATAGAAACGACAAACCCCCTTTCCACATCCATAATACTTTAATTTCGTCCCTGTTAAAACAACATAACCTTTTCTCCACTGGAATGTTGTTTCTCCTTGTTTCGATTCTAAGTGTAGCAATTCCACACCCGAAGCGTTCCTTTGTGTTCTTGGTAATAGGGGCGGTGGGGTAGCCTAGTGGTTAAAGCGTTGGCTCGTCACGCCGAAGACCCGGGTTCGAATCCCCACATGGGTACAATGTGTGATGCCCATTTCTGGTGTCCCCCGCCGTGATGTTGCTGGAATATTGCTAAAAGCGGCGTAAAACCAAACTCAGTCAGTCAGTCTTGGTAATAGGGTTTGACAATAGTGTTCTGTGGCGTAGGATTCTTAAATGTTCTATATCATCTCAGTTTGTTTTTCTGGAATCGCTGAGTACCATAACCGCCTACAATGTCCTCTCCCAGTGTGACATATACCTTTCAAATGATGCTTTATGTACACGTTTCAACAGTGATTCTTTCATTGAGAGTTAGTAAGGTTTACCGCCGCCTTGAAATATATTTCAATAATGTCACAGTTAGTCAGTTTGATGTGGAATAAGTCCCAAATTAAACAGGCTGAAGTTTGTTTGTTTGTTTGAAGATGTTGCAACTATATGGACGCCAACGATGGCATACAAGCCTAGAAACAATCAGGGCCGACCGGGTTTCGAATTCATGATCAAAATTTCAAACACGCTTGAGAAGCGCAACTGTCGACAGCGAATATCTGTAATTGTTAGTCGTCACCAGCGCCCATACACATGATATATCAGATATATCTAAAGAAGGAAAGAATCCATTTTGTAATTCATTTTTCAACAGTGGTTACATCGTGCTCCGATGTGCAACAGTGTCAACCCGCGAGTCCAGATGGCGAGTACTGGCTCCATGTGGGGAGCCATCCCTTCAACCAGACCCGGATATACTGTCACGACATGAATACAGAGAATCCTCGGGAGTATGTAACACTTATAAATGAAAACTATGGCTTCTACCCGGGAGTTAGCTCTCTGGGGTGTGGCGTTGAAAAACCTAAACCAGAGTTGGAGAATGATCAGTGGTTTCAAAAGATTGGATTTGATGTCAAGGTGAGTGACATAAGTAGTATGTAATTAGGTTAACCTTATGCGGATTGAGACTCCACCTGAAAGATCATATTTATTTCATAAATACCCATTCTTGAATACCAAAGTTACACAATAAAGCACCTTTACCTTCAGTGTTATTCCCATTGGGATTATGGGAGGCATTTTATGTATCAACGTGTCTTAATTTGTCATAAGCACATACTTCGGAAAATCAATTGTCGATGGGGTAAAAATTCGAGCAAACATGTCAAACCAGGTTCCCTCATTGAAAAGTATTAATTCAGATGAAATAGTGTTTAAATAGCATTCATAATTTAATGTCATGATGACAAAACTTGTCTTATGCACTCTCACTTACTCCAGAAAATTAATTGTCGGTGCAGTAACCATTAGCGCAAACATATCAAATCTAGCTCCCTCACAGAAGATGCTTAATACAGACCAAGTAGGCTGTAAAAGGTATACAGAATTTACTGTCGGGATGACACAACTTATAAAAAAATAAACACAACTAATATTATCCTGTAACGAAGACGATACGGTACGCCTGGAAGTCGGGAAGGAATATAGTCACGACAATATAATCCATGACAGTCATTAAATGTTTGAGTCAGACCTATTTCTTCCTCCTTCCAAAGCACATGACTGTAGTGAAGAACGACTACACATTCGCCAACTGGACAAACAAGGCAAAGCCATACGGCAGGGCTGCTGACTGCTATACCGGTCACGGAAACAGTGTGGCAGTGTGTGGAACTAAAGGACGATTCAAGATTGACTTGAGGGGAACTGGATTGGCTGTCGTGCCAGAGGTAAGCATCTATGACACAAGTTGCACAGAATACTAATCAGTCTCGAACTTTGCTGTCCAGAAAATTAGTTAAACAGTACCACATCTTCAAATTCGTTTATGCTGAAAAGCCAGTCATCTTTTGGGTTATGTCAGCATGTGAAGCTGATGTCATGTTTGTGAGAGTCTACGGTTTCACTGATACCTGCTGATCAATTGGAGACCTGTAAGAGAAGAGGGACTGAAGCTGGGGAAGCGGTATGTTAACTATTATACAAACAACATGTTGCACGCATTTCCAAGCGTATTACAATCGAATGTATTTAACGTTTGTAGTACATGTAAAATCCAGGTGTGAATTCATAATACGTTCACTGTGTTTCTGTTTGGGGATCACAGGGTAATGAAAACCACCAGTGTCACTAGACTAACATCTAGTCTCTATCTCTAGGTTAACATCTAGAATCTGAAAAGAACATATGTTACTATGCTACTATCTCCATCTGTATTGTTATATGTAAGTTGATATGAGCGGTAGGAGTTCCAAGAAAACCATAATTTGTATCTAGCCATGTTTGACCAACAACTTTTCTCACAACAACCTCCAATATAGCATACCACAATATAACACCACAATGAGACTTTTTTACGGGTCGGTGTTTTGTAAGGTTCCTTGCAAGAGGTTGTTGTCTGAATGTATCTAGAATCTGAAATGAACATATGTTACTAAACAAACGTTTCCTGAATCATATTCATAAAATATGATAAAAAAGGCCCAGAAACATTCTTTATTTTCAGAAACTGTGGTGACCTAGATATGCCACATAGTCTATATTTGCATGGGGTGTATGGGTGTATTTGTTTCAGGGTTTGTATGACAGACTATAGTATCAGGGGCTTGGTGATCGGGTGGTCACCATGCCTCGATTGTGTAGATCGCTGACAAAACTAAAACTATCTCCTTCTGCATTGTTATATGTAAGTTGATATGAACGGAAGGGATTCCAAGAAAACCATAATTGTCATCCAGCTACGTTAGATCAACAACTTTTCTCACAACAACTTCCAATGTAGCATACTACAATGTAATACCACATTTTAATGGGTCGTTTAATAATAATAATAATAATAATAATAATAATAATGTCCATTTGTATGGCGCCGTTTCCACACACTAGTGTATGCTCATGGCGCCCCGTGTGTACGGCTAAAAACTGCAGCAATTGTACAAGTCATTCGTAATATTTCCTGAACAGATGGGTCTTCAATGAAGATTTGAATAAGTCAAGAGTTTGCTGTTTTGATGGTTATGGGAAGACTGTTCCACAGTGAAGGAGCAGCATAGCTGCATGATCTGTGACCATAGTTCTTGAAATGGATAGGGGGTGTTGTTAGGAGGAACTGTTGGTGTGATCTCAGCTGTCGTGGTGGTGTGTACATTGAGATGAGTTCAGAGAGGTACTGAGGCGCTAGGTCATGTAGACATTGGAACACAATGGTCAAGATCTTGAATTCGATTCTGGCTTGGATGGGCAACCAGTGAAGGGACTTTAGGACAGGGGTTATGTGAGATCTTTTAGGTGTTAGGGATACAATGCAGGCTGCAACGTTTTGGATTTTCTGGAGTTTTGTCAAGTGTGCAGAGCTGAGTCCAAACAGAATGCTGTTTGAATAGTCCAGTCTAGATAGAACGAGGGACCGTAAACCTGTAAACCGTTTACAGATTTTAAAGAAAAGGTTCTAGTCGGTGTTTTGTAAGGTTACTTGGAAGAGGTTCTTGTCTGAAACCCAGTGAGTGGGTTTAGTTTTACGCCTCCTTTAGCACTATTCCAGCAATATTACGGCGGGGTATACATTGTACCCATGTGGGGAATCGAACCCGGGTCTTGGCTGCGACGAGCAAATGCTTTAACCACAAGGCTATCACTCCGCCCCTCTCAATGTTCAGGACTGGGAGGTACTGAAAACGTCTATTCACTAACTGCATTGGGTATTTGAAAGCAAATAAAACGTTTACATACATCTATAAAAAAGTCTGTTAGTGTTTTACAAACGTGAATCACTGCCATTAAAGACAATATTGTTGGAGATACATAAATATTGCTATGATCAAACACGGATTGACCGAAATATCAGGTCCGATCTTGAGGCATTAGTCAGTTTGTCACTGGAGTGTAAAATCTCCTGATTGGGTTTGTAACTAAAGTGAGCAGCTGAACCTTGGCATTGGGTTACAGTAATCTCAAAAAAGTTTGTTTGTCTGTTGCAAACGCGAGTCACTGCCATTTAAGACAATATTGTTGGAGATACATAAATATTGCTATGATCAAAGATGGATTGAACAGTTGATTAGTCCTAAAATTGAACCTTGTGAACCTTGGTCACAGACGATATATTCGTGTAATCGAAACATTGAAGTGAAAAGGTATAACAAACATCTTTGCATTCTTTGTACCTTATGACATCGATCAGTTAGACTGCTAATGACGCATAAGCCTCACAAGGAAAACCTATCCCTGTAGAACACTGTACAAGATACGTCTGTGACCATGTTACCATAACGAATTGGCATCGAATCACCAGACAATTGTCACAGCTCACTTGTTTTCATAGCGCTGGTGAATACTTAACGTCGTCTTAATCTTGACTGACTGACTGACTGAGTTTAGTTTTAAGCCGCTTTTAGCAATATTCCAGCAATATCACGGCGGGGGACACCAGAAATGGGCTTCACACATCGTGCCCATGTGGGGAATCGAACCCGGGTCTTGGGCGTGACGAGCCAACGGTTTAACCACTAGGCTACCCCACCGCCCCTCTTAATCTTGATGAAAATTCAAACATATACCTTTATTGATCACCCTATTCACTTGAAAGTGATATAAAAAGCTGCAAAGAGTGTAAAGTTTCAGTTTAAAACAGCTTGATATAATGTATAACAAATAGGTTTCTAGGTAGGAGACAGCAAATGGATAGAAACGGTATCCGTGGGGTCATACATTGATAAAGGTACAAATATAAAAGATCAGGTAAGCACTATCTTCAGTGTTTAAAAACATCGCATCGACATTATCTGTCGGCTATCGAATCAGAATTCCCCATTGCAAATATTGAGAAAGTACTGAGATTATTGTCAATGATTATCAAAAGAATGATTTAAATACTGAAAAATGGTGTCTAACTGGGACGTAGCGGATGCATTTTACAATATTGGCCAACTTTAGTTGTACAAATTGTAAAAGAATTTCGCGTGGACACTATCATGACGGGATCAGCTTCCACATACCAGTACCTAAATACCAGGAAAACATGCAGTTTATAGGTAATATTTGTGAGAAATCAGAACACGTTTTTCGACACGAGTTTCATTACATGATACAGAGGTTATTATGCGTTTTGGATTTGGGATGGTACACATACTATATAGGGAACAGACACCTTCGCCTAGTTTTGCTAATTACAATCTTTGTTCCTGATACAATATATTTATCACCTAAAATACACTCCAGCGAACCTGCTAAAATCAAGTAACTAAAACATTACGGCGAAACCCCAAAACTGGTGCTTATAAACCTAGAAACATGGTGAGGACGACCCCAAGACGAAAGGGTTCTTTCGCAAAAATAAGACCTCTAGACCGAGCCCCCCAAACAAAACAAAGAAAAAACCAAGCAAACAAAAACGCCTAGGATACTGGAGTTTCCATTAAAGATCAAAGTATAGGTTATCGCCTTGCAAAATATTCAGACAGGACAATGGCCATAGCCAAGTTTCATTTCGTTTATCAAAGCCTTTTCAGCAACAGTGTCCATGTAATTGTAAGTCAAAATGATTCAATGTGGGATAAGCAGCTATTTCAAATGACAAATGACATGTTCTTGTTATGTTTTCAGCAAACTTGGAGGAAATATGGTTATCAGGCTATAATCGAGTCCATTTCTCGTAACCAAGAAGGAACCGTCATCGAGTTGAGATGTGGCGGGTATTGTGGCTATTGTGATCCCGTAGGTTCTCTGACGTTACAAGTAAATTCAAATGAGGGTGAGTGTTCTCTGCAACTGATTATCATCGCTGGAGTGATTTATAAGCTAGATTATCATTAGATTTAGTTTGATTTATTTAGCTGAATTTGGAACCGAACGGTATCATATAATAGGCCCATGACTTCTCTTCCCACGTACAGCCAATGTTATATGGTGTACCATATTCATGTATGTCATGTATCGTTATATTTGTTATGAAAGACACAGAATTGAAAATGTATTTATCGTCCTAACTAATTCTAGCAATTTTTTAAGTTTGTAAACAGTGGTTACAAGAGTTTTGGGTGTAAAAGGACTTGTAGATAGATTCAGTTGTAGATATTCACATGAGCATTAATGAAGATCACCTGAATGCTTAACATTCTGGTCAATCAGGCGATCATGCCATTGCATACTAGAATGCACATGTAAAGTCCGGTAGTACTAAAGACTGACTTTTCTTGACCTGGCAAGACATAGACTTTCAGATAATACACGATGACAAGTTATTGGCATGCATGACGAAGGGATGCCCTGTCGCATCATCGGTTCTACCGTGAATATTAATCAAAGTGTTATTAGTCGATTTGAAAGGAAAAGCGTGGCCACCGGTGAAGTAAAGGAACATCCAAGACCTTGACCACCAATAATAAGACAGCCCTACTTCGTTTGGCAAGACGCAATGCCTTATGTTGAAGAGCTGCGCCAGCACTGTCAACCAGTACTATGATAAAAAAGTTGTGGGCTGCTAGTCTGAGGAAAGCCGTCCGATCAAACGTCCTTTCCTCGCAGATAGGAACAGACACGGCCGTCTGTCGTGGTGCAACCCCCAAGAAAAACGCAAAATGAGATCTTACTGTTTGTTGGCCTGATGAAAGTTTCTATCGTCTACACCTTGCAGATGATCCATGCAGCTGAACCATTTAGTGGTAGTTCACTGATATTGTGGGGTCGCCTTACATACGACTGCAAGTTGGTCCTTATTACAATACATGGGGCACTCAGTTGTCATCGTTATCAACATAAAGTGCTGGATACTGCTGTCGTGCATAACTATTACCTTGCCAGTCGTCCGATATTCATTGTTGACAACGCTAGGGCGTCACCGTTCTCTAGCCGTCATCAACCATTCGCAGAAGAACATCATCGAAATATTACTGTGGCCGGCAGGAGCCCTGATATAAACCCCATCGAAATGTTTGTGACTGTCTATCTTGAACGCCAAGTTCGAGCCAGCGATCATCCTGTCCACCACCTGAAGGAATTGACGCAGGCACTTCATGAGGAATGACGTTCCAATGCTGGGAATTCGACGCTTTATTGCCAGTAAGAGGAGATTGACAGATGTTATCCGTGGAAGTGGCGGCTGTTCCAAGCACTGATGGGATCGCCAGTATGGTTTCATACAATCACTACAATCATTATTTGAAAATCATTCTTTGTGACCCTACTTTCCGGCATTGTTTACATTCACGTTTTTGAGTATTCCTCTCAGATTTCACAGTAAATTTTTGCCAAATTTAAGTTTTTGTTTTAATCAGATTAAATTATGTTACAGTTACCATTTTAACAAGCTGATTTTGGTACAGCAATACAAAATGTAGTGTTTTCGTAGTTATCATATGTGAAATAGTGGATGGTGCATGGTTAATGCACATGTATATATTTATTTGTTTATGAGGGTCTCGTGAGAAATATCGCTTGATATCACCCAAGCAATTTCTCCTGTGGAAGGCAGGAAATACTCAGGAACCCTAACTTGTTTGTTCTGCGTAGCGACTGTGGTAGATGAATGCCATATGCTTTCCTTCAGAGCTAGTCAACGCCTTCGAAACTAGCGATTTAGCGAGGCATTTGTGTTATAGAACTACTTCTTTGAGTGGCATTAGAATTTGGGAAGTACAATATAGAACAACCTCTCTTCCTGTTCCAATCCGGCTTGACAACGGTACAAGAATCTGCATGGAAACGTCGCACTCACAAAATAAAAGAAGTTGTTAGTCATAAAGTTTGTTCTATATTGTGATAGAACTAGTCTGTTATTATATAGTTTTATCTGACACTTAGCATGCATGCATGCATCGGTGCATATGTTAACAAGTGTATCACTTTCTTTCAGACTTACCGTCGATTTCTGCAACAACTGTGACGTGTGGTTAACTCTTTAAGTAGCTGTGGACCGTTAGAGAGGGTGGCTGAATGTCACAGTCTAATTTTTGTCCAGTTACCCCCTGAGCATACAAGTGACTGGATGTTCTTTTGAAAGCCACTTTACACAGAATTACAATTAAATCGCGTTCTGTCAACTGAATGAAGGAGGAAAGCCCGAATTTACGAAATTCGAGTCTTAGTCCTTTACAAGACTGGTGAAACCGATGAGCATGGGTGCTTAGTTGACAAGATCGTGATCGGTGCGACACTTGGATTTGAAATGACTATGACTGACTAATTTAGTCAAGTAAGACATCTATATGGTAATATGTTCTACAAACATATCATTTTCTGTGTAATGAAAGGGTTCGGAGGACGGACATGGTTGACCTTTAGACATTGATGAAACAGTCTATAGTCGTGTTATGTGAATAAACGTCGGCAAGAAGATACAAGTAAACAATCACAGCAGTATATGCGTTTGCTTTTTACTGAAAAACACTTTTGCCCAATATTATGAAGATTTCATAATAATTGTTTGGCGATCGATATTGAAAATAATAAACAATATGTCCATCTTGACATTCCATATATTATCCCACTGAGTCGAATGCCTTACTAAAGTCTACAAAAACTGGGTACAGTGTACCTCCATTCTTTGAAAGATATCGTTGAATTAACGAATACACAACGAACATATCTGTAGTAGTGTAACCTTTATTGAAGACCATATCTATAATGCTACGAACATGCTTTATTCCGATTAAGTTCTTCAGAACTGACCAACAACGTTTTGCATCGGCAATAGAGCTTTTCCACGCTTAGAACGCTTGTGTCATTCAAGTTCAGGTTTAAGACAGTTCTTTAATGATTTTCTAAGGTTCAGGTGTTCTTTATGATTCCGCTTATGTTAAAGTTCCATCCATTTTATCGTGTCTTTGAATCATTTTCTTCAGTTACAAGCATTTCCCGAAGCTTTTCCATTTAACCCTTTGGGTATAATTATGGTTTTTTGATTTGTGAACGAGAAGGGTCATTTTCCATCATTAAGCCCAGGGCTTAAATACAGGAAATCCTGATAATATCATGCTGTTTTTGCCTTTACTGCTTCACTATAACTTACTATCAATTTGTTATTCCGTTTGCTACTTCACTATAACTTACTATCATGCTGTTATTGCTTTTACTTTATCGCTATAGTGAGTGAGTGAGTTAATATTTAACGTCACATCGGCAATATCTCAGCCATATCGTGACGAAAACAATCCATACAATAAAAGGTGAAAACATTTGGAAGATTAAAACCTGTCGACGATGGACAGTAAAAATACTAGAGAATAACACTAGCGAGGAAAGCTAAACAATTCCAGTTAAAGAAGACAATACAGTATAAAACACGGGCAATAGATCGCCAACATCTGAAGGTAGATCACATAATAGGAACCATGGGGGACTTGCATTACTTTTGCTACCTGCATGGATCCTAGCTGGATTTACACCATCCCTTCAGCCGCTGGCGATTGTAGGAAAATTTATCCAACAGTTAAAATAACAAAACTACGTTTAAAATGTGATAATTTATATTTTACTTTGAAAGTTTTGGGACTTACGTACCCTCTCAGGAGGACAATAATTTTACTGTACTTTAACCCCCTTTGAGGGTACAGCCACTAACAATCTAAGTTTACTAATCTAAACTACCAATCATTAAAATACATCTATCTACAGAACATATTATTCAAAATTAATCTATGAAATCAATTTCTTTGAAAAAAAAACAATAATTAAATGATAATTAACAGTGTTAAAAAGATCCTTAACTGTTTTCACATTGAAATATTTATCCCTTATGACGGAGAATTCAACACAGTCAAGCAGGATATGCTTGGCCGTGACTCTCTCATCACAAGGGATACAAAACGGAGGATCTTCACCTTTTAACAAGTATTTGTGAGTATAACGCGTATGGCCAATGCGACATCGTCGCATGACGACCTCCTCAAATCTGGATTGACAACCCAAGTAGGTGTAACCAATATAGGGGTTTATTTCATGTAATTTATTGATACCTACTTGGGTGTCCCACTTCTTCTGCATCAGATCCCGGATGTAAGTTCTAATGCTAGCTAATGGAATAAGAAGTGGTGTCACAGATTTGTTGAGTGCTGCCTTAGCAGCAAGATCAGCCATTGTGTTCCCAGAAATGCAAACATTGCTGGGTAACCAACAAAAGACGATGTCGCATTCACCAGCAGCAAGCTCATTATACAATTCAATAATTTCTATTAAAAGTGGATATTTACAAGAAAGATTTTTAATAGCCTGAAGACACGGAAAAGATGATGTATTGTTAATATTTACGGTGTTTATTAATATGGCGTTAGCTTCTGCTGTGAAAATAGAGCTGTTATTTGGTAGTCGAGAAGATATTGTTCTTGATCCAATGACAGTGGCACATGCCACCGCGCCACCATCCTTGGACCCATCTGTAATTAAGGATTTATATGTATTGTATTTACTTTTTAATTGATTATATTCTTGTTTGTATTGTAATTCATTAGTTTCAGATTTCTTAAACTTTGTCAGAGTTAGGTCAACTTCAGGCCTCACCAGTTGCAAAGGGGGAGAAAAAAGAAGACGGGAAGGAGATATATTTTCCAGCTTAATGCCAGCAGCAATAATGAATGGCTTAATCCTGAGCCCAAGAGGCGGAACAAGAGAAGATTTCTTGTTGTACAAATCCTCATAAAGAGGATTAAAGATACAGTGAAATGCAGGATTAGACTCATTAGAATATAGTTTGGTAATATATTGTAATGATAATTTTATACGGCGCTGTGCCTCGACGTGGAGACTGTCAAAACAGGAGATGTTCTGAATGACCCAGGACAAAGTCTCAGAGCTTGGTGGTGGACAGAATCTAATAGTTGTAGGTTGCTTTTGCAGGCTCCACCATATACGATGGAGCCATAATCAAGCTTCGAGCGGACCAGTGATCTATATAAGTGTAGGAGGGTAGGTTGGTCCCGTCCCCAGTTTGAATGAGAAACGACTTTCAATAAATCGAGTGCCTTCAGGCATTTAGTTTTTAGGGATTTGATATACGGAAGAGAAGTTAAATGGGAGTCGAAAATCAGACCCAAGAACTTGGCCTCTTTTACAACCTTGATGGGAGTGCCATTTAAAGATAGTTCTGGGTTTCTATGTGGTTTATATTTACGGCAGAAATGTATGCAATTAGATTTTGATTTAGAAAATTTAAAGCCGTTTTCAAGACACCATTTATTTATTTTGTTTAAACACAACTGTAGTTGCCATTCAATAGTATGCATATTCTTACCGCGACAAGAAATGTTAAAATCATTCACAAAAAGTGATCCATCGATTGAATCATTTAAAACCTTGGATAAACTGTTGATCTTAATACTAAACAATGTTACAGACAAAATACTGCCTTGTTGGACACCCTGATCCTGACTATAATGGTCAGACAGGGTTGAACCTACTCGGACTTCAAATTGCCTGTGTGACAAAAACTGTGATAAAAAAGAGGTAAACGACCCCTTAAACCAAAATTATGTAAATCCTTTAAAATGCCATGCTTCGAGGTGGTTTCGTATGCTTTCTCGAGATCAAAGAATATCGATACTGCATGTTGTTTATTTACTATTGCATTTTTGACAAAGGATTCTAAACGTACCAAATGATCAATGGTACTACGATTGTTCCTGAAACCACATTGGATATTTTACATCAGTTTATTGGTTTCAAGATACCAAGTTAATGTATTATTCACCATTGTTTCCATGGTTTTACAGACACAACTCGTTAAAGAGATTGGTCTATAATTAGACGGATCAGTATGATCCCGGCCAGGTTTTGGAATAGGGATTACAATGGCATTACGCCAGGAAGTTGGGAAATTCCCTGAAGTCCATATTGAATCAAAAATATTTAGAAGTGTTTCCAAACATGATTCCGGTAAATTCTGGGACGTAATTTTACGAAGAATAATGTTTGGCGAGAGTTTCACCAACCTTATTGGCAATGTGAGACTTATCAGTTAATAAATTGTCACCATCCTTCAGATGGTGAACAGTAGATTTTGAACCTTTGCCCTTAATTCTCTGGATCACGTTCCACACCTTTGAAATAGGTGTGCGTTAATTTATCTTGGAAACGTAGTTTCTCCAAGACTGACGCTTATTCTGTTTAAATGCGCGTCGAGCCTTGGCATTTATAATTTTTACTTTGTCTAAATTATGGACCGTAGGATGTTTGCGAAAAAACTTTTCGGCTTTCTTCCTACTCTTTCTGGCCTGTTTACATTCATTATTGAACCATGGTTTGCGAATGTGAAGATTTGCAGAGGACTTAGGTATTGTTTGATCAGCTGTGGCAGTGAGCTGATCTGAAAATAGCTTAATTTAATAATCGGTAGTTATAAAACGGTCAGGTGATAGGTTTGAAGTACACAATATCTCATACAGTTGCCAATTTGCTTTTTTAAAATTCCACCTAGATGATGATGAATCAGCAATTGGGTTGATGGTTTTCAGAATGGTGGGAAACTGATCGCTGCCACAGAGGTGATCATGGACCGACCATTCAAATTCATTTAATAAGTTGGCATCCGTAAGAGAAAGGTCAAGCGCTGAATACATTCCAATAGCAGGATGAAATAAGTGTTAGATTCATCGTTATATGTGCAAAAATTATCGTCGTTAATGAATTCCTCAAGTATCTTCCCTTTACTGTTTGTATTTACGCTTCCCCCATATAGGGTTGTGGACATTCAGGTCCCCAAAGATAATGCATGGTTTAGGGAGCTGATCGTATAGCTGTTGAAGATCAGATTGTCGTAGTGAAGTAGAGGGAGGGATATACAATGAGCACAGAGTAAATACAATGTGATTAGTTAGCCGGACGGCAACAGCTTGAAGATTTGTATTAAGAGGAACGGGGCTGTTAATGACTCCCTGCCGTATAAAAATAGAAGCTCCTCCAGAAGCCCTATCTCCTGGTGGAGAAA